CAACGTGAGCGGCGCCGGCGAGCGGGGCAGCGGCGGGGCCGCCAACGCCTCGGGGGCTGCCTGGGGCCCGCCCCCGGGCCAGTACTCGGCGGGCGCCGTGGCGGGGCTAGCGGCCGTGGTGGGCTTCCTCATCGTCTTCACTGTGGTGGGCAACGTGCTGGTGGTGATCGCTGTGCTGACCAGCCGCGCGCTGCGTGCGCCGCAGAACCTCTTCCTGGTGTCGCTGGCCTCGGCCGACATCCTGGTGGCCACGCTGGTCATGCCCTTCTCGCTGGCCAACGAGCTCATGGCCTACTGGTACTTCGGGCAGGTGTGGTGCGGCGTGTACCTGGCGCTCGACGTGCTCTTCTGCACCTCGTCCATTGTGCACCTGTGCGCCATCAGCCTGGACCGCTACTGGTCCGTGACGCAGGCTGTCGAGTACAATGTGAAGCGCACGCCGCGCCGCGTCAAGGCCACCATCGTGGCCGTGTGGCTCATCTCGGCCGTCATCTCCTTCCCGCCACTCGTCTCGCTCTACCGCCAGCCCGACGGCGCCGCCTACCCGCAGTGTGGCCTCAATGACGAGACCTGGTACATCCTGTCCTCCTGCATCGGGTCCTTCTTTGCGCCCTGCCTCATCATGGGCCTGGTCTACGCGCGCATCTACCGGGTGGCCAAGCTGCGCACGCGCACGCTGAGCGAGAAGCGCGAGCCCGCGGGCCCCGACGGCGCGTCCCCGACCGCGGAGAACGGGCTTGGCGCGGGCGAGAACGGGCACTGCGCGACCCCGCGCCGCCCGCGCGCCGATGTGGAGCCGGAGGACAGCGGCGTGGCGGCCGAGAGGAGGCGGTGCCGAGGCGCGCTGCGGCGGGGCGGGGGGGGGCCCGGGCCGGGGGCGGCCGAGCCGGGCGCGATGGCCGCCGCGAGGTCCCCGGTCCCCAGCTGGCGCCTGTCGCGCGCCAGCTCGCGTTCCGTCGAGTTCTTCCTGTCGCGCCGGCGCCGGGCGCGCAGCAGCGTGTGCCGCCGCAAGGTGGCCCAGGCGCGCGAGAAGCGCTTCACCTTCGTGCTGGCGGTGGTCATGGGCGTGTTTGTGCTCTGCTGGTTCCCCTTCTTCTTCAGCTACAGCCTGTACGGCATCTGCCGCGAGGCCTGCCAGGTGCCCGGCCCGCTCTTCAAGTTCTTTTTCTGGATCGGCTACTGCAACAGCTCGCTCAACCCGGTCATCTACACCGTCTTCAATCAGGACTTCCGGCGCTCTTTCAAGCACATCCTCTTCCGACGGAGGAGAAAGGGCTTCAGGCAGTGATCCGCTCACCCTACGCGGCTCGGAGACCCTGGACAGCTCCCAGCGGAGGGGGCGGGCAGCCGTGGCCTCCCGGGAGAAAGTGGGAGCAACTTTCCCAGGGACCCAGGGATGGATAGGCCTTCAGGGCGCAGGGGAGGGTGCTGCACGGAGGGCTGAGAGACTGCAGGGCCCCCGGGGAGGGGGAAGGAGAGAGGGGAGACCCCTCTGCCTTCCCGTCTCAGCAAGGGGCTGCTTCTGGGGCTGCAGGCCCGGGTCCAACTCCGGGGTCCGCGCCAAGGTGTGTCTGTGAGGCAGCACACGCATCCTCCCAAGTTGGTGAGGAAGGAGCCTGCCCTGCCCCCACCACAGGCCACCACCCCATCCCCCTTTGAGCAAGGGCTGACTTCCCAAGACCTCGTGGGGTGGCTTTTCTGGGGGAGGAAGGAGGGCACTGACCATCTTTGGTTACTGAAAGTATCTAAATGTTTGCCAACAGTGACTGACAGCCAAAACAACCAAACTCTTTTCTAAATAAACCTTTGTAATCTAAGTGGTGGGTGCAATAGTCAGTCCTTCAGACCCTCACCCTGCCCGACCTCCCACCAAAGGTGGCAGGAGGGCACCCCAGGTGGCCAGATTCCGTCCTCCCCTTTTGCATGAGAAGGAGGGGGTCTTTGCTTAAGGGTGACTGTTTTACAGACTTACAAAATATATACTCAGAATTCTTGTGCTGTAACCGGCGGAGAGACCAAGGAAATCAAAGGGCTTTAAGTTAACTCCAAATTTAGATGCTGGAGGGCTGTCCTCCCTTCATAACCCTCCCCCCATCCCGATCTGAGTCTAGGCTTCCCCCAGTGCAGCCCAGCCTGGCCCCCTTGCTCAGCCCTCACCACCCGCAGGGAGTCCGTGCTCACCCCGCACTAAGGCTTGAGGAGAGAAAGAGGGAGAGTCAAGTATCAGAGAGGGTCCCTTCCTGGCTCTTCCAGCCCTCATCACAGAGCCCAGAAGCTCCTGGGATAGCTGGGGGGGAGGGGTAGGAACAGGACCCCTGAGACACATACATACACAAGCTTAGTGGGCTGGAGGGGCTCATGCCAGGGATCCCTGCTGTGACCGTCCAACCCTCCTGTCCCTCTCTGTGCCCGTCTTGGCCTTCCTGTATGTAACCCCTGCCTGCCAGCCCAGCTCTCTCCTGGATCACCACCCACCTGTCTTTGGCCTGGGGTGGCCATGGGTCTCTCTCTCTCGAGGAGAGGTCAGCCCTGGGTCCTGCATTTCAAGGCCCCGTGCCCTGAATCGGCAGGCCCCTCCCCTGGTCTGACTTGTCAGGGCTGTCCCTTGGAGAAGTCCTCCCGTGCAGCTGCCTGGCCTTATCACCCCAACTTAGGTGTCCTCAGGACACCCCAACTGGGAAGAGCTCTCCCAGACTCGGGCAACGGTGGGGAAAGCGGTGGAGGAAACAGCCGGCCAAGGCAGATGGGAACATCCCTGACCTCCCACCAGTGGGCAGGGGCCTGGACACGGTGTCTGTGTCGTAGGCCCGGCTCTGTTGCAGGATTACTGAGCTAGCTCAGGTAAACCCCTGCCCTCTCTGGGCCTCAGCACCCTTCCGGTGAAGTGGGGCAAGGGCTGAAACCTCAGGCCCTGCCTGGCCTGTAGTCTGTGGTCCAACTTGCCAGCTGGATGGGGGGGAGCAAAGAGGGGGAGCTTTCCTTCAGGGAGAGCCTGGCTAACACTGGCATTGCCTCCCTGGTGCAATGGGGTAATGCCATACCCTCCCCCCGGCTCTTGGGGGATGAACCCCGGGACTCCAGGAGGCTCTCGTAGCCTGGAACACGGCCCACGGAAGAACGGGAGAACGTCAGCAAACCTCCTTTCCCTTTCCTAATCCCGAGAATTGCACCTTCCAGGGCTGTGGCTGGGACTGCAGACGCCCGGTGCTTAACACCCCATTCAGCCAACAGATATTCACCACTTCATCGTAATTGCTGCCTGGAGAGACTCTCTTTTCAGCTGGATAAACAGAGACAGAACCTGGCTTCTCCCCCCGCCTGCCGCAGGGAAACGGGCCAGTCGCCTTGCTCTGAGTCTCTGGCTCCATCGACTAAGCGGGAGCGCAGACACCCCCGAGGGTGCCCGTGGGCGCTGACTGCTCCCGGCACGGTCCGGGAGCCGTCATGCAGGGGGATTTCTCTGGGGTACAGAGGAGGGGCCCGGGCCTCTGCCCATCCTCGTCCAGCGGGTCCGTCCACTGCGCACCATCGCTCGCGCAGGGCTTTCCTCTCTTAGGCGCGTCTTCGTGTCTACGCCGCGGCGCCATCACTGTCAACCCCCGTCTGTGGCTGAGGAAACGGAGGCCCAGAGCTGACCACCTGGGCCAGGACCCACAGGCGTGAAGGGGCAGAGCCAGCCACGAGCCCAGAGACGCCCAGGTCAGGAGAGCTGTGCCCCGAGCACCCCGGCTCCAGTCCTCTGAGCACCGGCGATCTCTGGGCCTCGCTGATGGAGAAGCGTTGTACACAGCCGCCTTCCTGCCTCAGGCTTCCCCTCGGCTCTCTCTCTCGGGAGATTTCCGGCAAAATAAAAAAACACCCACGACGAGATTAAGGAGGGCAGGGCCCCAAGCAGGGGATCAGCGCTGCCCCCGGCTGGCCGGAGCCCACCGCTGATACAGTTGCCACAGACATGTGTAGGTACACATTCTTATAAGTTACTTCCTGTATTTTTGTAATTCAGTTGCTGAGTTTGTAGAAAAGGGGGAAAGAATAATCCAAATATTCTGTCACAGCTCAGTATGGAATTCAGAAAAAAAGAAAAAAAAACACTTGGAGCAGAGGCAGAATAGAATTGTCAACAGTTTAGAAGAGCAGCTCGTCTGAATCCTACCCCCAGCTCTTGGGGTGGGGGCTGAGGGATGGGAGAAAACTCGTTGCCGAGGCACTTGCTGGCGAGGAAACGGTCCTTCTCGGCTGTGCTGGCAGCCGGCTATATTTTTATGTCGCATCCGTTGGCAGGGCTCAGATATTCCAGCGCAGCCTCGGATCAAAACACTCGGCGCCTGCAGGCCCATCTTGAGTCTGGTTGGGCAGCTGCGGTGCTTTGCTGAGCCGAACCCCGGCCCCCAGTGCCCTGCAGCCCCCCGCAGCCCTCGTCACGCAAGGGGGAGGCAGAAGGCATCCCGGCTGAAGATGCCCTGCACCCTGCCAGGCTAGGAGGGTACGAGTTCTGCGTTAGTAGAAGCCCAGCTCGTTGGAGCTGGGGAGTAGAGGAGAATTGTGAGACCCTCACTGGGGACCCCGAGTCCCTGCTCTGGGTCTGCCATGAGCACCGCCAGGGGACCTCAGCATGCGCCCCGCCCCGCATGCCAGACAGAAGGTCGACCTCCCATTTGACCAGCTGGACTGTTGAGATCATCATAAGCGGCTGGGTTGGGGGTGAGGGTGAGGGGTGTGGATGGTAGAAACATCCAGTTTGCCTGAGAGGGACCCGGCAGGCACCCTAGGTCTGCCCTCTACGTGACCCCCACCCCATCTCCCACCACCTATAAACAGGGTGTACATCCTCTGCTGGCTGGGTGGAAGCACGCATGTGAGAGGGCCCGTGACCTCCAGGCGGGGCACAGTGCCTCTGAAATCTGCCCAGGGAGCAGAGTCAACTGCCAACCACGAGCCAAAGGAAAGCCCTGGGGACCAAATGCATCTCTTCCTGCCAGAAGGATTTATGGCTGCTCCCAGTAAAAGCCTTGGGCACAATGGGATCGTTATGTCAAGATAAGGGATTGCCATGTAGGGCGGAGAGGGAGCGCTGGCCCAGAAAGCCCCGTTTAAGGGCATCTGCTCTCCTGGCTGAGCACAAAACGTGCCCTGAGCTGCCTGGCAGTGACAGAGAGGTAGGAAACAGGATGCACACCTGCTGTCTGCTGCCAGGTTGATAGGAGAAGCGGGGACCAGTGGGCCGGCCTCCGGAAGACCACCTGTAAGACTGCCTGTGCCGGGTGCCATCCTGCAGGCCACTGTGCTTGGGGGTGTGTGCCTGTAAGGGTGGGGACTTTGGGGACCATGCAGAGCCCTGGGGGGCATTCACACCGTAGTCCCTGTTGGGGTGGGGGAATGGCCAGTTCCCAGCCCCCTGGATCCAGCCTCCATCACCAGATGCACCAGACAAGGCCACTTCCTATTCATCCCACCAACCCCCAGCCTGCGCCTCCCTGGGCCGGGCCCTGGCTCAGAGCTGCGAGGGCTGAGGGGCAGGGCAGTCATGGGGGAGGGGCCTGCCTGGGGTCCGGGACTGTGGCCTCCTCACCCCAGTGGCAGAGTGAGCCTTCGGGGCCGCAAAGCCGACCTGGTACAAGTCCCCCATCCAGTCAAGCCCACGCTCTACCGGCTTTCAGGCTGGCGCTCACCCATCCCAGGCCCCCGCTTTGTTTATTCTCTGCTTCTGCCAGGAGTGCCTTTCCCATCTTTTCCCGAGCTCCTCTCATAGGCTCTGCGAGACTCAGATCAGGCATCATCCCCAGGAAAGCTTTGGGAGCTTCCTCCAACCCCCCACCCTCCCCAGCTGCAGGTCCTCAAGCCTGGCTGGGCACGGCCCCTCCCCTTAGCGCAGGGAGCCCAGCATGGGTTGGGGGTGGGATGGGGGCCGAGAGACTCTGAACGGGGACAGTGTGTCATTCTGGCCGGGGGAACAGCCAAGCAGGCCTCCCTCGGGGATGCAGGGCTGTGCTTCCTCTCCCACGACGCAACCCCAAGCCGCCCAGGGCATGTCCACCATGCCAGGACACTGTCTCGCAGGCCGTGCGGGGGGCGCTGGAGTGGACGCCCTACGTCCGCTCTCAGGCCGTTGGGGAGAAATTTCGAGCAGCAAAGGCAGGAGAACTGGCGACAGCTCGGGCCCCGGCTCACAGACTGGGCTCGGGCTGCGGGGGACCTTCCACTGCCCGTGCAGGCCCGGCTGCTGCAGCGGTCTGTTCAAATATTGGTGGGCGGGTTTTTCCCCCCATTCAATTAGCTCTTAACTGACTG